GGGGCACAGTGTGGGGCAGTGGGGCACAGTATGGGGTACAGCGTGGGGCAGTGTGGGGCAGTGTGGGTACAGTGTGGGGCAGTGTCGGCCACAGTGTGGGGCAGTGTGGGGCACAGGGTCTGCAGGACAGATCTAGAGCCAGTGAGTAAGGGAAACCATGTCTAGAGAAACCTTTGTGCTCAGACTCGTCGAGCCAGGAAGCGGTGCCTCTGGAGGCCCCGAGGCTCAAGGTCAGACAGGCTATCTTGCGGCAGCGGCCCACAGGGGAGGGTGTCCCTTTAAGCCACAAGAATCTGAAACTTTTTTGGGTTATTTGGGCCAAAGCGGAAACCCATTCCCCAGGCACCACATTAAAAATAGAACCCAAAGTTTCTGTTCTCTCTTTTCTAATTGTTGACACGCCGATTGTCTCAGAGTGCCAGCCGGCCTGGAGCTCAGCTCAGCCAAAGCTTGGCCAACAAAGTGGCGGAGAGTGCTGTCTCAGCGGAGTCTCCCACGCCGAGACCACAGCTCTACTGACCTCACTGCTGAAGGTCTCCGCCAGCCTCGGAAAGTGGAGGGAGACGACCGAAGAACCTGCCGAGTCGCCGGTTAGCCGCCACACCGGCCCCGTCTGCGTTACGTGTGACTGTGCACGACACCGAGGACGTGGCGTGGCTCGTGTCTGCCCGCACGGGCATTTGGCGGGGACTCTCGCGGGCATCTTATCTGACTTCCCCAGGGTGCACAGTCCGGGAGAGAAAGGGGCCCAGTTCTCCCCATCGCCTTGGTGAATTTTCCAGAGTGAGACTGAGGGGATCGATGAGCCAACAACCGTAACAGCGACTTACACAGGGTACGCAGGTGCAGAGTAGGACGAACCCCTCTGTGCGGTGTGCTTCATGGTCTTTTCACGTGTGCTGTCTACCCCTACCCGAAGCAGTGAGGGAGGCAGGGAACGCATTACTGCCTCCGTGTGACGGACGTGAAAACTGAAGTTCAGAAAAGACCGTTTACCTGGGGTTTGGAGTACGAGAGTCTGCACTCGCCGTGGCTGTACTGCGTGGGTGGGTGGGGGGACAGGCTGCGGCGGACTCCACGCGCACTCACCTGCTGGTCCTGCAGCTTGACTCCGACGACCCTGAAGGTGTTGCTGGCAGTGTTGTGGTAGATGTTGACCCGGCTGAAGCCCTGCTGGCCAGGTTTGATGGGCACCCACTTCTTACTGGTGTCATCGTAGACCATCACGGACGCCCGGGCCTGGCAGATACTCTGTTCACTGCAGACAAACAGCAACAAACCGAGAAAGCAGGCTGAAGCACCTCAGCTGCAGGGGGCCGGGCCGGCTTCGCCCTTGCCCACACAGGCCGACTGCCACCTCACCCAGAAACGCTGCACCGGACGCCCCGTCTGGGGGGCTGCCCACGAGGGTCGCGTTTTCTTTCTCCACAGCCCATGGGGGTATGAAGGAGGTCCTGGGCCAAAACCTTCCCTAGCTTAGAAGAGGTTCACAGCTTTGCTTTCAGAGAAGGGGCTCGAGTGAGAAAGGCGCTCCGGCTGCAATTTGCCAGCTGTCTGCAACACTGCAGGCACACAGAAGCTAGCACCTGGCCTCACAGCTGGGGCGGCCACTCGTCGGCCCGCTGGACCAACGAGAAGAGCGGCTCTGAGGCCAGCAAAGACTCACGTCTCCTAGGTGTGCAGAGACGGGCCTCGAGCGTTCCCGGTTCTGACCCTAGAGCACACGGCACAGGTAACACTCTCTGCAGTGCCCAGCTGAAGTCTAGGGTAGTACCAGGCACGCGAGGTAGGCAAGGAGTGGGCAGGCGACCCACAGACCAGAGCAACCCGGTCCATCTCACTTGGCCGGAGACACCTACCGACTAGGGCAACCTCACCTGTTCCGTGACAGAAAGCCAGAGAAGCCCTCGGAGAGACGAAATGGTTGTCGCTAGAGTTAGCACCCTGGGACTCCCAGCACTGCCCTGAGAGGTCTCCAACCCCATCAGCTCTTCACTCACACGTCTGCATGCAGTCTACAGCACGTTCGAATCCCCAAACTAGGAAAGGTAAAGTGTGGTTGCTTAGGGGACTTGCCAACATGGGGCAGCAGTAACCAGAAAGGGGGCCCGTGAAGAAGAGCTGGAAACTGAAGCTTAAAGCCCAAAAGCGGAGTGCACGCAATAATGATCTTCACAGCAACAAGGCGGAGAGGCCGAGAAAAAGGCCCACCGCGTTCACTCTACTGAATGGATGAACGCGGGGAAATGAAACATATGACAAAGATCCTGGGACCGGGACCAGCAGGTGGTGCAATGATTACGTCACTGGACTCCTACGTAGTCGAATGTGGTTCAAATCCCTGGCTTAAAATTCAGCCACGGGAACGTGTGCGTGCATACCCAAGACCCCAAGAGGAGAATGGAGGAGAAGGGATTGTGGTGTGGCCATCCCTCTAGGGGGTGACTTCTCACTTTCTATCTCTGTCTCTCCAGCGAGCACACGTGTCCTATAGCAAAAAAAAAAAAAAAAATCCCTACAATGTGCCCTGGTTACTGGGGGGCC